TGAAAAAACACAAAAAAATCCTAATTCTAAGCAATTCTAAATGCTAAGCATGTTTATTAATGTCTGTGATTAGAAACAACATTAATTTTGATGCATTTTTATTTTTGTGCAGTTTCAGATTTAAAAACACACAAAAATTTCTCAGTACACACACAAAGCACACTCTGATATCAACACCAACATACCCACACAATTATAACTACAATGTTCAATTCCACTGGTGTTTTTCCAGCTGAAGCAGAAAACAGGAACAAAGCGAGTATTTGCTCCAGAGAGCAAACCTCAGAAAATGGTGCCAAAATAGTAAAATATTGTACATTTTTATAAACGGCTACAATTTTGTAGACTTGTCAACAGAATGAAAGCTGATTAAAGAATGCATGAGTTTGTTTAAATGGCACTGGGATGAAATACTGCTGTTTTAATGGGCACATTTCTGTCTCTAAAGTCCTCACTATCTGTGTACCTACTATAAAATAGATTTATGAGAGAAAATAAAGGTGAAATCTTAAAAAGCCAATAAAATACACATTGTTTGCATTAACACAGCCAAAATGATCAAAAACCAAAAATTTTAAAGACAAAAATGTTTAAGGGTTAATGATATTTACCTTCCTAACAATCATTATCTTCTGCGCCCCAGATGTAATCGTTTGATTCAGTTCTAAAATGAGCTGCAGTGTTCGATGCGGTGGTTTTGTGGTTCGGTGCGGTGTTTGTGGTTCGGTGCGGTGGTTTTGTGGTTCGGTGCGGTGGTTTCATGTTTCGATGCAGTGTTTGTGGTTCGGTGCGGTGGTTTTGTGGTTCGGTGTGGTGGTTTCATGTTTCGATGCAGTGTTTGTGGTTCGGTGCGGTGGTTTTGTGGTTCGGTGCGGTGGTTTCATGTTTCGATGCAGTGTTTGTGGTTCGGTGCGGTGGTTTTGTGGTTGTGGTTCAGTGCTGTGGTTGTGGTTCAGTGCGGTGGTTTTGTGGTTCGGTGCGGTGTTTGTGGTTCGGTGCGGTGGTTTCATGTTTCGATGCAGTGGTTGTGTTTCGGTGCGGTGGTTTTGTGGTTCGGTGCGGTTTTGTGATTCGGTGCGGTGTTTGTAGTTCGGTGCGGTGGTTTTGTGTTTCGGTGCGGTGGTTTTGTGATTCGGTGCGGTGTTTGTGGTTCGGTGCGGTGGTGTGGTGGTTGTGGTTCGGTGCGGTGGTTTCATGTTTCGATGCAGTGGTTGTGTTTCGGTGCGGTGGTTTTGTGGTTCGGTGCGGTGGTTTCATGTTTCGATGCAGTGGTTGTGTTTCGGTGCGGTGGTTTTGTGGTTCGGTGCGGTGGTTTCATGTTTCGATGCAGTGGTTGTGTTTCGGTGCGGTGGTTTTGTGGTTCGGTGCGGTGGTTTCATGTTTCGATGCAGTGGTTGTGTTTCGGTGCGGTGGTTTTGTGGTTCGGTGCGGTGGTTTCATGTTTCGATGCAGTGGTTGTGTTTCGGTGCGGTGGTTTTGTGGTTCGGTGCGGTGGTTTCATGTTTCGATGCAGTGGTTGTGTTTCGGTGCGGTGGTTTTGTGGTTCGGTGCGGTGGTTTCATGTTTCGATGCAGTGGTTGTGTTTCGGTGCGGTGGTTTTGTGGTTCGGTGCGGTGGTTTCATGTTTCGATGCAGTGGTTGTGTTTCGGTGCGGTGGTTTTGTGGTTCGGTGCGGTGGTTTCATGTTTCGATGCAGTGGTTGTGTTTCGGTGCGGTGGTTTTGTGGTTCGGTGCGGTGGTTTCATGTTTCGATGCAGTGGTTGTGTTTCGGTGCGGTGGTTTTGTGGTTCGGTGCGGTGGTTTCATGTTTCGATGCAGTGGTTGTGTTTCGGTGCGGTGGTTTTGTGGTTCGGTGCGGTGGTTTCATGTTTCGATGCAGTGGTTGTGTTTCGGTGCGGTGGTTTTGTGGTTCGGTGCGGTGGTTTCATGTTTCGATGCAGTGGTTGTGTTTCGGTGCGGTGGTTTTGTGGTTCGGTGCGGTGGTTTCATGTTTCGATGCAGTGGTTGTGTTTCGGTGCGGTGGTTTTGTGGTTCGGTGCGGTGGTTTCATGTTTCGATGCAGTGGTTGTGTTTCGGTGCGGTGGTTTTGTGGTTCGGTGCGGTGGTTTCATGTTTCGATGCAGTGGTTGTGTTTCGGTGCGGTGGTTTTGTGGTTCGGTGCGGTGGTTTCATGTTTCGATGCAGTGGTTGTGTTTCGGTGCGGTGGTTTTGTGGTTCGGTGCGGTGGTTTCATGTTTCGATGCAGTGGTTGTGTTTCGGTGCGGTGGTTTTGTGGTTCGGTGCGGTGGTTTCATGTTTCGATGCAGTGGTTGTGTTTCGGTGCGGTGGTTTTGTGGTTCGGTGCGGTGGTTTCATGTTTCGATGCAGTGGTTGTGTTTCGGTGCGGTGGTTTTGTGGTTCGGTGCGGTGGTTTCATGTTTCGATGCAGTGGTTGTGTTTCGGTGCGGTGGTTTTGTGGTTCGGTGCGGTGGTTTCATGTTTCGATGCAGTGGTTGTGTTTCGGTGCGGTGGTTTTGTGGTTCGGTGCGGTGGTTTCATGTTTCGATGCAGTGGTTGTGTTTCGGTGCGGTGGTTTTGTGGTTCGGTGCGGTGGTTTCATGTTTCGATGCAGTGGTTGTGTTTCGGTGCGGTGGTTTTGTGGTTCGGTGCGGTGGTTTCATGTTTCGATGCAGTGGTTGTGTTTCGGTGCGGTGGTTTTGTGGTTCGGTGCGGTGGTTTCATGTTTCGATGCAGTGGTTGTGTTTCGGTGCGGTGGTTTTGTGGTTCGGTGCGGTGGTTTCATGTTTCGATGCAGTGGTTGTGTTTCGGTGCGGTGGTTTTGTGGTTCGGTGCGGTGGTTTCATGTTTCGATGCAGTGGTTGTGTTTCGGTGCGGTGGTTTTGTGGTTCGGTGCGGTGGTTTCATGTTTCGATGCAGTGGTTGTGTTTCGGTGCGGTGGTTTTGTGGTTCGGTGCGGTGGTTTCATGTTTCGATGCAGTGGTTGTGTTTCGGTGCGGTGGTTTTGTGGTTCGGTGCGGTGGTTTCATGTTTCGATGCAGTGGTTGTGTTTCGGTGCGGTGGTTTTGTGGTTCGGTGCGGTGGTTTCATGTTTCGATGCAGTGGTTGTGTTTCGGTGCGGTGGTTTTGTGGTTCGGTGCGGTGGTTTCATGTTTCGATGCAGTGGTTGTGTTTCGGTGCGGTGGTTTTGTGGTTCGGTGCGGTGGTTTCATGTTTCGATGCAGTGGTTGTGTTTCGGTGCGGTGGTTTTGTGGTTCGGTGCGGTGGTTTCATGTTTCGATGCAGTGGTTGTGTTTCGGTGCGGTGGTTTTGTGGTTCGGTGCGGTGGTTTCATGTTTCGATGCAGTGGTTGTGTTTCGGTGCGGTGGTTTTGTGGTTCGGTGCGGTGGTTTCATGTTTCGATGCAGTGGTTGTGTTTCGGTGCGGTGGTTTTGTGGTTCGGTGCGGTGGTTTCATGTTTCGATGCAGTGGTTGTGTTTCGGTGCGGTGGTTTTGTGGTTCGGTGCGGTGGTTTCATGTTTCGATGCAGTGGTTGTGTTTCGGTGCGGTGGTTTTGTGGTTCGGTGCGGTGGTTTCATGTTTCGATGCAGTGGTTGTGTTTCGGTGCGGTGGTTTTGTGGTTCGGTGCGGTGGTTTCATGTTTCGATGCAGTGGTTGTGTTTCGGTGCGGTGGTTTTGTGGTTCGGTGCGGTGGTTTCATGTTTCGATGCAGTGGTTGTGTTTCGGTGCGGTGGTTTTGTGGTTCGGTGCGGTGGTTTCATGTTTCGATGCAGTGGTTGTGTTTCGGTGCGGTGGTTTTGTGGTTCGGTGCGGTGGTTTCATGTTTCGATGCAGTGGTTGTGTTTCGGTGCGGTGGTTTTGTGGTTCGGTGCGGTGGTTTCATGTTTCGATGCAGTGTTTGTGGTTCGGTGCGGTGGTTTTGTGATTCGGTGCGGTGTTTGTGGTTCGGTTCGGTGGTGTTGTGGTTGTGGTTCGGTGCGGTGCGGTGGTTTTGTGATTCGGTGCGGTGTTTGTGGTTCAGTGCGGTGGTTTTGTGTTTCGGTGCGGTGTTTGTGGTTCGGTGCGGTGGTTTTGTGATTCGGTGCGGTGTTTGTGGTTCAGTGCGGTGGTTTTGTGATTCGGTGCGGTGTTTGTGGTTCAGTGCGGTGGTTTTGTGATTCGGTGCGGTGTTTGTGGTTCAGTGCGGTGGTTTTGTGTTTCGGTGCGGTGTTTGTGGTTCAGTGCGGTGGTTTCATGTTTCGATGCAGTGTTTGTGATTCGGTGCGGTGGTTTTGTGGTTGTGGTTCGGTGCGGTGGTTTTGTTGTTGTGGTTCGATGCAGTGGTTTTGTGGTTGTGGTTTTGTAGTTCGATGCGGTGGATTTGTGGTTGTGGTTAGTAGTGTTGACCCTTCAGTGACCCGTGGGCTGAGTGTGTGTTGGAGCGTGTCGTTCTCTCTCACGCTGAGGGTGAAATGGCTGTTTACCGCAGTGAGTGTTACTCTTCCTTTTATAGTTCCTGTGATTTATGGGCCGTTTCTTCAGCGCAGGAACAAAAGCGGGTCCCGCGGGGCGTCTCTCACGCTGCTGAGTGAGCAAAAACAATGCTTCAGTTTGTGCTGGTGTGTTTAAAGCCCTGATGTTGGGTGAAAAACCACATTCAACTTCTGTTTTTGGGGTCAAATTCACCCAATGCAGTCTGCCAAAAATTAAGATTCATGTAAAAACAGCAAAGCTCTATTGTATCTGGTCAGAGACTGAAAAATATAAAATGTGTGAGAAATGTAATAATTTTCTTCTATTGTATTAGTTCAATTTGACACAAAATTACTTGTTCAGACACAATACAAAATATCTTTTTGTCATGACACGCAGGTGTAATAACAAGCAACTAATAAAAATTATATTATTTGTGCTTAGTAGTGTTTATTGCTGTTTGTAGTTCTGTTATCTTTTTATCTAACCCTAATGAGAGTTAAATGTGTTTCTCACACTCATTTCCAGTGCTGTAATAATTTAGTATTTGATATCGAAAACCAACCGTTGAGAGAAGTTTTCTTAAGATTTTTTTTACCTGATTCTTTAGTGTCTTTCAAAGTGATTTTTGACAAATTGCATGGAAACCAATGGGGGTTAATTTGACACGCAACACAAAAGTTGCAACTAAATTTGTACAGCCATTCCAAAACACATTTATGTGTCGAAACATTGCATACGCATTCATGACCCTGAATGAGAAACATTCACCAGATTTATAGAAATAAGTTAACCAGTACATCAAGCATTTTAAAATTCTAGTTAAATTGTCCTCAAAATAACAGGAGCTGAACTGTTGCTGGTTTGTGTCTGATATGAAGGGTTACGGAGGATCTGACGTGTCCTCACGTCTCTGTCAGTGTGTTTGATGAAGATGTTTCTTTTTGTAACAAGACTGACACATGTACATACCGTGCCAGTAACAACACTTACAATGTACAAAAGAAAAGAAAACAAACAAACACTAGGGGCTCATATTACATGAAAAGTGTGATGGCACAAACCAACATTAGGTTAATACAGTTTGTACTTTGGAAGTTAGATTTAATAATCCATTGCAAACAATAACAACCACAGCTATAAGGGGTTAATATATTGCACATTAAAATATATTTTAATACCCAATCAATAATTTTGATCCTCCTCTCTTATATTGTTAATATCACTACATTCAATAAATAAAAAAAAATGACTCCAGATTTTCTTAAATTTTGCTTCTTTACCCTTAAGCATATAGGTTATATTTTCCATTGCAATGCATGAAGATATATCTCTTAACCAACGAGTTATGGTAAGCCTTTTTCCAATAAATGGCAGTGAGCCTTTTGGCATGTAAAATGCACGTCTATCAATACTTGATTATCCTTTTTAATATTCCAGTTATCTGGATGAATGCCAAGAATTAAAAACCTCGGATCTAATGGTAACCTCATCGAAACCATATGTGACCCTGCAGCACAAAAGCAGTGTTGAGTCGCTGGGGGATATTTGTAGCAATAGCCAACAATACATTGTATGAGTCACAATTATACATTTCTCTTTTATGCCAAAAATCATTAGGATATTAAGTAAAGATCATGTTCCATGAAGATATTTAGTAAATCTCCTACCGTAAATATATCAAAACTTAATGTTTGATTAGTAATATGCATTGCTAAGAACTTCATTTGAACAACTTTAAAGATGATTTTCTCAATATTTAGATTTTTTTGCACCCTCAGATTCCAGATTTTCAAATATTGTGCTATCCTAACAAACCATACATCAATGGAAAGCTTATTTATTTAATATTTTCAAAAAATTGACCCTTATGACTAGTTTTGTGGTCCAGGGTCACATATGCATCATATTACGATGAAGATGTTTCTTGAGAGGAAGTTGAGGACAGGAAGTGCGTGTATCTGTGACGGCTTGTGTTTTTAGTCTCAGTGCTGACGTCAGGGATTCACACATGCTCTCTTGACATGTTCACACACAACTGATTCTCAGCGACGCCATGCTCGGCGGCCTTGTGGTGTAAAACAACAGAAGAAAATAACTGTGCAAATGTAGTTTTAGTCTGCAGGGCGGCTGTTGGTTTGGATTGTGTGAATGACCAGCGCTTCTCTTCTCCTGCAGCGTATAAATGCATCACGGACCAGCGGGAGCAGCTGGAGCAGATGCTGCCGCTGGTGTTGGGTCTCATCCTGGGTCTCATCATCGTCATCACCGTCTCCGTTTATCACTTCCACCTCAAACTGAGCGCCCCGCAGCTTCCTCGCGACTGCTCGCTCTACAAGAACATGTGAAGACTCTCTATGCACACGCCATATGTCCTGTCTGTAAAGGTCAAGTCCAGACATCTCAATGCACCTCACTAGAACTCCTCTTTTCTTTCTGGGTTCTGAGTCGAATGTATGGAAGCCCGTTTCCACCATAGAATGAAAAAAAAGTTAAAAAGGTAATTGCGACTTTTTTCAGAATTGCAAGGTAAAAACTCATAATTGTGAGAAACTCGGAAACTCAGAAAAAAGCCAGAATTGTGTCGTAATTACCTTTTATTTCATAGCTGGAAAACAATCTGAATTGCAACATGTAAACTTAGACTTCAAAGGAAAAAAAGTCAATTGTGTGATGTAATCTTAGAATTCAGAGAAAAAGTTAGAATTGCAAAATGTAAATTTAGAAATCGTAAAAAAGTCAATTGCATGATGTTAACAGAATTCAGAGGAAAAAAATTTGACTCGCAAAATGTAAACTTTAGAAATCTGGGGGGAAATAGTCAATTGCGAGATGGAAACTTAGAATGCAAAAAGAAAAAAATTCTGAATTGTGAGATGTAACTACAATTCCGAGGACAAAAAGTCAGAATTATGTTAATATCTTGCAATTCTGCCTTTTTTCTCAGAATTATGAATTTATATCGCGCAATTCTGTTCATATCTCAGAACTGCGAGTTAAAAAGTTGATATTACCTTTATGTTTTTATTTTCTTTGTGGTGGAAACGGATGTTTCATACAGATGTCTCGTCTAGATGTTAAATGTTCCTGTAACCGCTGCACTCTGTATGTCGTTTACCACATGATTGTCTATCACTGTAAAAAATAGAGATATTGAAATTGCTTGAAGGCTATAAATAAAGTACAAATATTTATTGATGATTATTTCATGATTATTTTGTGATAATTGAATATTTTATGATTTGCTAAATGAGACCAACTGTACTGTCCATGTACTGAAGTGTGTGAAACGGCACAGAATGACTTGTGTTCTTCTCCATTTACTCTCTCGTGGCTGTGAGGAGTTTTAGAAGAGGTTTGTCTTTTCCAGCTGAAGGTTTAGATCCATCAGAATCAAACACGACACGGAGATGAATGGAAAATCAATGAGAAGCGGTGGGACAGCCGTAACATCACTGGCATTAAAGATTTCCCCAAATGAGCTGCGCTCCTCACAGATCGATGTCTGGCGTCTCAGGCGCTGAGGGGTTTATTGATCCACGTCACCGGCGCTCAATTAAACACTGCTTCTGCTGGCCAGTGATTTATGCTGCACTCATAAATGCTCGTTCATCGCCTGTTCTTCAGGATTTCTCTGACCACTCGCTCTTATTAAAGTTCTGCTCGAGCTCATGTTTGGTGTATGTGTGGTGTATTGATCAGTTCTCTCGCTGCAGCTCAAATCTCATCCCAGCATGTTCATATTCAAATGTGGTGCGTTAATAAACTTTCATTTTTTGTCGAACAGTTTCTTTGGTATTGTCATGCTTTCAAAACTGTACAGAAGCATATTTACTGTAAACTTTGAATTTTATGACAGATTTGATTATTTTCAAATATGCTTTGGTATATTCTTACAAAGTTAGGACTAATTTTATTAATAGAATACTTGAAAATGTTCTTAATCTTTTATTCTAGAAGAATTCAAAACCGAGTAAAAGATGTTTCATTTATTGGTTTGTTTCACGTAAACAAAAGAATAATGATATTAATGGCTCATTCTCCGAGGAGTGCAAGCCTTTTGGGGTCTCAAAAGAAAATTGTAACAGTATCATAGAAATTAGATCGTTACACTTATTTTGAATTATATTTGAGTTATTAGTCGTTTTCTGTTTTTATTATACTGTTAACGTTTTTGTAATTTTGTTGTGTAGTTCCATGTAGTTTTCATACATTTTTCAGTTTCAGAGAAGTTTAAGTAACAGAAATAGTTTTATGGCGTTTTGGTTAACTATAATAACCCTGGCCACATGTAAAAAAACATATTATTCATGTTTATTATTTTTATGTTTGAACATATACCTCTAAATTAAAAATTGTCCCGAGTCCTAAACCGTAAACAAAGTTTTTGTTTCTTTTCCTTCATATAACATTAATCAAATGGTTTCCAGCATATAGCGTTTAATGTATCTCACACCTGTAATGTTAAAAGAGCTGCTCAGTTTTATTATTAATAGTTGTAAGTACTGAATTATATTCTTTAAAAATTGTTCTTAAAAATACCTGAGAACCAAATGATTTCACAGAAAAACACGTTAATGTAAGAGTCTGAATGAAGCACAGGAGGACACGTGCGTTTGTGTTTTTTTATTGAAAGCAGCTCTTAGTGACACACATGCAGGAGCACCATACAAAAGCCACGCGACAGCGGATCTGAAGAGTCCTACAGAAACACATTTCCAGATCACAGTGAGCCAGGAGACACGGGTGAGACGCCACAAGAAAACACGCGAGGATTGTGCTGAATATTGCTAGAGAGTGAGCGTGAGAAGGCCACACTACTGAAAACCAGAACGAAACCAGCGTAGAAAACTCTGCCGCGACCTACAAACGTAGAATAAATAAATATATTCGGATTCATCTGTCTGCAACAGCCATCTTCAAAAAAAACGAAATATAAACAGTAGGAAAGTTTATTATTATTAGTTATTATTTTGCAGAAACTCTCAGTTCTAGGTAATACTGCCCATTTCAGCATGGTGACGTCACAACAAAAATACTGCCGTTTATCAAAACTGTACAAGTAAAACTTACAATTGCTCTAAAATACATCTTCGTAGTTAGCGTGAGAAGACGTCAGTCTGGTTGTGGATGAAACGCTCAGCGGTGGCGGTAGTGGCGCATCAGAGGAACGATGCAGGCCGGCGGGCCCGACAGCTTCAGGAACGAGTGCTGCAGCAGCTCCAGCGCCGAGGCCCGCTGCGACGGCTCTCGCACCAGCATCAGCTCCAGGAACGCCCGCAGAACCGACGACACCTGCACCCAAACACACCAGACTCAACACACGTCACTAGAGCTGGGAAAACAAATCGATGCGTCGCGAATAGGGGTGTAGCGATACACGTATTCGTATTGAACGGTTCGGTATGCATTACAAACCGAACGATTCGATTCGTTGGACTAGTCCTATTACGTTTGGAAAATAAAAGAGCTTAAAGTGTGTGAAATATAATTTTCTCAGTGCTGTATTATTAATTTGTCATTTGAAATTTTGCCAACCAGTGTTTCAATACGGAATAAATCCACCATTTTGAACGAATCGTGTGAGTCAATGATTCAGTGTCTCATTCAGAAAGACTGTCACTTGCTGCGTTTCTGAATGCATCAGCTGTTTGAACGAATCAGCTGAATGAATGATTCAATGACTCGTTCATAAAGACAGTCACTTGCTTCGTTACTGAATGAATTAGAAGTTTCGAACGAATCGAGTGAGTCAATGATTCAGTGACTCATTCAGAAAGACTGTCACTTGCTGCGTTTCTGAATGAATCAGCCGTTTGAACGAATCAAAATGTATTATAAAGACATTAGCTGTGTCCCAATTCACTTACTTATACTATGCCTTAAAAGTATGTAGCCTACTCTTTTTGAGCTTTGAGCAAGCTTTGGGACAGACTACTTCGTCATAGCTGCGTCTTTAACAGACGCTCTGTTGCTTAGTTGCATGCAACCTGTCACTGTTTAAACTGTCCTGTAAATCATCTTGTCACACTTAATCCACATTTCGTTTAATTTGATTTCCTACCGAATTGGAGAGAAATAAAGAGAGCCGCGTTGATCTGCCAGTCGTGGGTCTTTTATGCTGAGAACGGCTCATGTGTTTGCATAATGCATTTAAAAGTTAATGACCTAACGTATCATTATAAAAGTTCACAATGTTGCTGCAGATGAAATATAATGTGGATAACATTAAATACATATTTTTCATCAGGTTAGACATTGATTATTTATCTCTCAACCCCCTTTCTCTACTTGTTGGTCTCACATATCTGCCATGTTTGTAGTTTTTTAACACTTTCTATGTGTTTGTAGTTCTAATCGAATCCTCGTCCACTGCGCAATGTGTAGTGGGCAATATTAGCCGTTAGAATGTGCATTGATCTGCACTTCGAATTCTAACCGGAAGTAGTAGACCATTGGTCTCAATCTCGATTCCTGGAGGGCCAGAGCGCTGCACAGTTTAGCTCCAGCCCTAATCAAACACACCTGATCCAGCTAGCCAAGGTCTTCAGGATTACTAGAAACTTCCAAGCAGGTGTGAGCTGGAGCTAAACTCTGCAGAGCTGTGGCCCTCCAGGAACTGAGTTTGAGATCACTGTAGTAGACTATCCAGGAATCTTTGGCATACTTTCTTAAACATACTACGATTTGGGACACACTAATTCTATTTTCGAATACTATTTAGGACAGATAGTATGCAAATTGGGGTGCAGCAAGTGACTTGCTTCGTTATTAAATGAATTAGCAGTTTTGAGCGAATCGAGTGAGTCAATGATTCAGTGACTCATTCGTAAAGATAGCCACTAGCTTAGTGTCTGATTGAATCAGCTGTTTGAACAAATCAGTTGAATGAATGATTCAATGACTCACTCATTAGAAAGTGACTCGCTACCACCTACTGGTGTTTTTAGTCTCATTTCATTTTTGTTTAACCATTTCATATTTCAATATCCATTCAAACATTAATATGCATTTATTATCAATATTTAAGCAATGTTAAACCAAAATATTTCTTTCTAAAGCTATTTTTCTGTAATATGTAGTCAATGCTTTTCTCATGTAACACAATAATGACTTTAAATGATCTTTCGGAGAGTGATTTCTCAGCCCAAATTGATGTGCAATTTGCACATAATGTAATTAATTATATTAAAACTAGTAAAAACTAGTGCTGTCAAATGATTAATCGCGATTAATCGCATTCAAAATAAAAGTTTTTGTTTTCATAATATACGTGTGTGTACTGTGTATATTTATTATGTATATATAAAGACACACACAAACAGCATATATATATATATTTTTTTTATGTATATATTTATATTCATATAAATTATATCATATATAAATATATTTAATATATAAACGTAACATATTTTTCTTAAATATATACATGCATGTGTGTGTATTTATATATACATAATAAATATACGCAGTACACACACATACATTATGTAAACAAAAACTTTTATTTTGGATGCGATTAATCACGATTAAAGCACTAGTAAAAACATAATTATATAATTACAAAAACTGCTGGCATAAAAATGTTGATATAAACATTGCATTATGTGCAATTCAAATGTTTATGTTATATGTTATATGTTATGTTTATGTTGTTATATCTGAATGTTGATTATCAAATAAAGTTTCCGTTTAATGAGAACGTTGGGTTTGGGTGTTTGAGTAATAAATGAGTTTCAGAGGATCGCTGTAAATCAAGTAAACACGCGTGTCAGCGATCATGTGACTGCGGCTCTGACCAATAGAATCGCAGCTGCTCACCTTGTGAGACTCCTTGAGTCGCGGCGGCAGGTTGTCTCGTATCCGTCTCATGGCCTGCAGCGGCGGCTCGTTGAAGTACGGCGGCTCTCCGTCCACCATCTCGATCACCATGATGCCCAGAGACCAGATGTCCACCTGCAGACACACCACAGCAGATCAGCGCTGACTAGCTACCCATCATGCAGCACACGGGTCACCGTCGCGAACCGTACCTCAGTGCCGTAGGGCAGCCTAGAGATGACCTCCGGCGCCATCCAGTACGGCGTTCCCACCAGAGACTTCCTCTTGGGAACCTCTTTAGACACTTGAGCACAGAAGCCGAAATCCGAGAGCTTGATCTGAGCACAGAGACACCAGAGCGTCACGTACAGCACAACGCAAAGCTGATTAGCCGCTAATCGCCCCTTCATTTGTCATGTTCTCCCAGCTAATTACAAGGTGGGAGACACGATTTAATTACTTGGAACTAGTGAAGTTGCTAATGACCCCGATCACTTTTCTGCCCTCACAATAAACACACTTATGTGTATAACTACACAGTTACATGTGAAAGATGATGATACCGTAAACCACACAACACTGTCGTGTGCTGAATATTCAATTATAACGATTAAACACAACAGAATTATATCTTATAAAATATTTATATTTAATTATAAAAAAAACTTGATCCTGTTTTTCATAGTGCTGGTTGTAGTTATCAAACACATCACTGCACTTTATATGAGAAGGCCGAGTTACCTTCGTTGTATACCCGAAGAAGTTTTAATTGGTATTGCTTCATTTATAAGTCTATTTGTGGTCTAACTCCATCTTATTTGTCTCTCAGTTTTTCTAATTCAAAAGTATGCTATAAACTACATTCAAATGATGTTGTTTTAAAGTTCCTCGGGTTCGAACTGAACTAGGAAAAAGGGTTTTGGATATAATTCTACGTTGGCTTGGAATAATTTACAAAGCATTTTAAAGGTGTCATATGATGTGATTTCAAGTTTTCCTTTCTCTTTGGAGTGTTACAAGCTCTTGGTGCATAAAGAAGATCTGTAAAGTTGCAAAGACTAAAGTCTCAAATCCAAAGAGATATTCTTTATAAAAGTTAAGAGTCAGCCACGCCTACCTAAAACGCTCGTTCTAACACGCCCCCACATGTCTACATCACTATGTGGGAAGATTTGCATAACGCCGCCCAAATGTGCACGCAAAGAAAGAAGGCGTAACTTTTATTCTCGCTGTAGTATTGTTGCTGCCGCCGCCATGTCGTGAAGACGCTGTGTGTTTCGTTGTGAAAGTGAAACTACTTTGTTTTACCCGAAGAAGTTTTAATTGGTATCGCTTCATTTATAAGTCTATTTGTGGTCTAACTCCATCTTATTTGTCTCTCAGTTTTTCTAATTCAAAAGTATGCTATAAACTACATTCAAATGATGTTGTTTTAAAGTTCCTCGGGTTCAAACTGAACTAGGAAAAAGGGTTTTGGATATAATTCTACGTTGGCTTGGAATAATTTACAAAGCATTTTAAAGGGGTCATATGATGCGATTTCAATTGCTCCTTTCTCTTTGGAGTGTTACAAGCTCTTGGTGCATAAAGAAGATCTGTAAAGTTGCAAAGACTAAAGTCTCAAATCCAAAGAGATATTCTTTATAAAAGTTAAGAGTTAACCACGCCCCCCTAAA